TCTGAATATAATATTTAAATACTGGAACCTGCATGAAAGCCCACTTTGAGGTGACCGCCTGCAGGTAATTATCAGTAAAACAACATTATCAAAGTTCTCGTGTATAGCATGTTTGACTGCCTTGAGCACTTCTCCTTACAAATCCTGCTAATATCCATTTCAATCTGCTTTAATATGTTCACAAGTTGGGGCTTATTTTGAATTCCACTGGGTAAATGAGGACAGCACACTTTGAATTTACATACTATATGCACTCCTTTCATTTATCAAAGGTTTTCAGAGGTTTTTTTTTTTTTTGAAGGAAGCTGCTAACATCCAGAATTTTTTTTAAAAAAAATCCTCAGTATAACTAGAATGAAAATAGAAAGCAGCTCATTTACCTATTGTATTTACACCATTTGAAGCTATAGAACAGTTCTATGAAAATAGTCCTTTTTATGTTTGAAGAAGAGTTATTTTAACCAGGTATCAGTGATGATGCAATTTCTAAGGTATTGAAATTAAAAGTTAATTTAATTTTTTAAGAAGTCTGTGTTTGAAAACTGCAGGTGGAAAGTCCTCATCTCTGATTTGAGGTCTTCCCTTAATCCACAAGGTTTAATTTCCACCTCTTTCCTATTCAAAAAATAAGCAGAACTGAAGTGACATCTTATTGATGAGATAAATTTGAGTTTTAGGTGACCTGAAACCAGATATTCCAAGTTCCCTTCTTCTTCAACCAACTCTTCATCATGGTCTTAAAAAAATCAGGACACTGACAGAGGTATCTCATTACAGATCCAAGAATGCCCTCCTCTCAAACCTACTGTCAGTTCCAGAGAATTCAGAAGACACAGTCATTACTTTGGAGCAATCTGATGCCCAACATGGTTCCTAATACCTTGAATTAAATTAGGACATTGATAAAATAGCGATAGGTACCATGGAACACCTCAGCGATGCTGCATTACATGTACAAGCTGGTTTGGTTTTAATGGCTGTACATGTAATAAGAGGCATTTTTTTTTTTTAGAGTTTACCTTTGAAAACGGGTCAGTTAGAGATCCTAAGGTGGTAGTGGTATGAAGGTGGTTTTCTTTTCATGAAAATGCAGCTGAAATGAATGCGATTAACATACTAGTAAGAGGGACTTTGAGGGATATGAATGTGAAGGGATTTAGATAATGCTCAAGCAATTGCAGAGAAATTATACACTGAACAACCGAGATTCTAGACCTTCCCACCCAATCCCTTTCCTGTTGGATCCTCCTTACTAAACGAAAAAATGGGGGAGGTTCAGTTTTCAAGTTTTAATGACAATTTAGTAGCTTGTATTAAGATTCCTCCAAGGTGACAAGAGATTTTGCAAATGTTTTTCTAAGTTTGTTTTCTAACTAATGATATTTCTGTAATTCTCATCCTATGAGGGGGCTGAGGGAATTACTGATCCCATGTAGTCTAGACCTGACTTGATGATGAGCATTGCTGCCGAGGTATCAAAGATCGATTTTGATTTTTTTCTGCAGGAAAGAAATGTCTCTTCCTCCACTACCAGGGTCTAGGCATTAGAAGCTCACTTTTCCTTCCATTGTAGTGTTTTATCTTCTCCCTACCTAGAGCTCACTCTACCTGTTACTCAAGAAATAATTAAATGTTCTTCTTATATAAATACCCATGGATCATAATTCAGACACAATCCTGGACCAGTAGAAACTATAAATGGGCAAAGTGGATGATGGGGTATAAGAAAATAGGGGGTTGGGACGGCCCTGGTGAGGTTGAAATGGCCCCAGTGAGGCTGGGATGGCCCCGGTGAGGACGGGATGGCTCCAGTGGGGCTGAAACATATAGGAATAACCGGTGGACACAAGACACTGAGGGGTGGCAGCTGGGGGAGTGTCAAGGGGGGGGGGAGGAGACATATGTAATAATCTTTGTAATACTTCAAGAAATAAAAATTATTTAAATATTTTAAAAAAAAGAAAATAGGGGGTGGGCAGGGACACTGGTGAATTGGATAGTGCAGTTACTCAGCACCAAAGATTTGGGTAATGCAGAAATATGACCACACAGTTACAAGGTCTTCTAATTTTTTCAAGAGAAGCCGTGTGTGTGTGTGTGTGTGTGTGTGTGTGTGTGTGTGTGTGTGTTTCCCTGATTTTAATGCACTATGATCAAAGTAAAACACATCTATGGCCCAGGTTCGGTACAATGGACCACCAGTTTGCAATCCCTGATATAAACCATTATCTTCAAATGTGTTCTAAGTTTCTTTCCTTGCATTAATAGTCTATCATCTTATAAATCTGAAATGGTTTGTATTTTCATAGGCATTAAAGTTTTAACTACAATGCTGAGCAGGAGGGACAGACATTCCTTCTGGACATAAGAATAGTTTCACTATAGTTGCTATTTGCTAGTAATCCTAATTGTATTGGCTAATATTTACTGATCTGTTAGTTTTGAAATGTGGTTTTTATATGTATTATTTGACTCAAGCCTCACAATTCCATTGATCAGAATAAGCTAGGTGCTACTGCAATAACAAATAAACTCAGAATCTCCGTGATTTAACATAACTAAAGTTTATTTCTCCCTCATGCTACATGTCCAACATGCATCATGAGGTTGTCACTTAGAAACCCAGGCTGCAAGAAGTTTCATCTCAACAAGTGCTTCTGCCATCACCAAGATAGGCAGAGAGGATGAGGTCAATCATATTCTGGCTCCTGAAGCTTCTGTCCAAGAGAGACACCTATCTCTTGTGTTCACACTCAGAAGTTCACTTACAGGGACAAGTCCTTGGAGGTGTAACCCAATAGTATTTTAAATAGAAAGGAGAATAGTTAGGAGCGATGTGCTTTATCAAACATTAGAAGATCTCATAAAGGCACTAAGAACAAATCAGGTATTTGCAAAGAAATAGACAAATCAGTAGAACGGGACATAGAATCCAGAAATATATGTACACATAGGGTGGGACAAAAGTAGGCTTACAGTTATGAGCACTCAAAAAACAGAGTTTATTAATGTAATATTACTTATTAATTATTGTATTTTTTCCATACATATAAATATATGAGAATTTAATGCATAATGAAGATAGTCCAATTCAGTGGGAAAGGGTGAATTATTTTTAAGTAATATATAAAAATTAAATTGGACTATTCATATACAAAAATAATTTCAGATGGGTTAAAAACTTAAACATAAAAATGAAAGTATAAAAATTATCCAAGAATGTACATGTAGGGGGAAATTTCCATAACTAAGACAACAAACTTAGAAGCTATTAAATAAAAAAATGTAAATTTTAGCTATTTAAAAATATATATTTTAAGTAACAAAAATAGGTAAATGAGAAATTTAGAAAAAAAATTTAATGTAGATGAAAATTCAAGATTATACAACTAGCTCTTCCAACATACAATGCAAAATAAAAGAAAGTAAATTGTCAACTTGCAGAGGAGCAAAATCAAATGGCCTATAAATTTATGAAAATACATTCAACTCAGCAGGAGTTAGGGAGATGGAAAATAAAGCAACAGTGAGGTTTAAACCCATCAGTCTAGAAAAAAAAAAAAAGGGCAATAAGCTCCATTTTGTCATGGTTTCAGGGAGAAATGGTACTTTCACTATTGCTGGTGGAAATGAGAATTGTTAGAATATATTTTGGAAGTCAATCTGGCAACATTTAAAAGTAAATAACCACATCCTTTGACCCGGGTTCTCACCTCTAGAAAGCTACCCTGTAAAAATAAAAGCCCCAGTACATAAGAACACATGTATGGGAGTTAATCACAGCATTGTTCAGTAAACAGAAAGCTGAAAATAGAGCAAGTCACGGTGCAGCTACACCACGGAAGTAGTAGAAAATGAAGTAGACTAAACCAGTTGATGTGGAGACATTCTCTTGCGTTATTTCCAGTGAAAATACAGAGACAGAGAAGCATCAATCAGATCGTCAAACCTCAGAGGGAAGGTAAGGGAGGGTGGGGGTAATGGAGAGAGATCAACCAAAGGATTTATATGCATGCATATAGGCCTAACCAATGGACACAGACAACAGGGGGGTGAGGGGCATGAGTGGGAGGATGGGAGGTAATGTGGGGATAAGGACACATATGTAATAACTTAATCAATCAAAAAAAGAAAATACAAATGTAGGAAAGTAGTATATGATATGATCCTATTTT